AACACATGTTACAAGTATTTTGTTTACTTCTTTCTTGTAATTTTAACATAGTTACTTGGCAACCCATAAGGCCAATGTTTAATTTTTAAGTTTTCAAATCAATTGTGTAGCAAAACACGAATTTTCCTGAGGTAGTGCCGGTTGCAAATCACGTTTATAGGGCCATGAGTTCCTAGTTCCAAATTTTAGTTAAAATCCTTCCGCTGGATTTCGAGATATATTACAGACAGACAGACATTGCTTGTATTATAGTATAGGATGTTTACTTTAGCGGAGGGACGGATTTTAATTAGAAATGTAATCATTTTTAGAGCAATGCTCCTCTAGCCTTCGATTTATTTTAAGAGGATACTTTCACAGATCCATATGCAGGTGACCAACTTGCTTTAAAGCAGGTTTTAACGTGAGTTCTAATTTTTACTGCTTATTACTTTTAGTTGAATTCTTAGAAACAAATACATTTCAAACAAGAGCCACTACTGGTTACAATTTTGAATTTAAATGGGCTACTTTTATCAATAGTAATATTCAGATCAAAGTAGTAACATTGGTTATATTATTTGCTTAAAAATTGACATGTTGTAAATACTTTATTAACGGTTTTATTGATCTAATATTGTCTTATATAATATTTTGATACGTTCTGGGATGTCAGCAAAAGTAATCTTTAATTAGTAAAAGGGTTTTGCATGATTCCTTAAGTGTATCGCAGATGAGTTGTGAATCCTGTTAAATGTGGAGTTCGCGTGCGGGTATCATAGTTAACGGATAAAATTAGGAGGTTACTGTTTTTAAAAATAAGTTAAGGTGTGATCATAACGATATAATATATACTCACCATATTAAACCAGAAATTGGAATGTTCTTTTTCTTAAAAAAAAATATTGAAAAATCCATATACGTAAACTAAATAACTGATTAAAACGTCAACAATCATTTAGGTTTCGCTTTGGTTTGAATCCGTTTGAATTTTTTGAATTAATTATCAACATTCTGATTTGTTCAATCGTGTTAGCATACACGTTTTATTTATTTGTATATTAAAGTAACTTACTTTAAGGTTATCTTGTCTTCAACATTATAAATAAACACTTCAAACAAGTAAACACACACAAATAATGTTATACATTCGTAATTAAAACGTTGTTAACCTTAATTACCGTAATTAAGTTATCCTTGTTTAAGAGTCGGGATATTCCTAGCTTGACCATATTAGGGGGAAACTGAGTTTTGGCTTAACATACTTTACTCTGTCATCTACTGTAATTACACACCTACATCATGTAGACCCATAGGTTTAGTTTTACATAACAGCATTGCCTACCTAAATATAACAGGATTGATTCGTACTTCAATTCGCATTATAATTTAAAACGTGACTATTCATAATGGTATTAATTCATAATGTATTGCTTCATAACAATATTTGAGTATTCATAAATTCAAGAAAGCTATGTCATATTCATAAACAGTTATTTGTTCACGCCTAGCCTATGTGTCAACCGATCCATCATTTGGAAGATGAGTTTTTTATTAAAAGGGTATTCATTCAATATTATTTGAGGGTAAGGGGGGTGAGGGGGGGTTCACTCATTCTGCCGATTACACTTTTTTCAAATTTGTATTTTATTATTTTTCACGGATCATATTTTTGCTTACTTAAAGTACGTGTAAAACAAAATGTTGATATACATTTGTCTCATTGGATGCTACTTATGTGCAAGAAAGCCTACATGAAACAAAATATATGTTAAAAGTGAATCCATACCTTTGTACTATTTCATTAGGAATACCAATTAAAGACCGTATATCCCATGTTGTGAGTGGTATTAAACATATTATTAATTTTCTTAATCCTCCCAATGATTTTGGTATGGAAAATGCACCACAATTGAGTAGATACTAATTAAAGGCCAAGATCAACGAAGCCATCCTAGCAAACAAATTTAACTTACCTGTATAACTTACTATTTTTTTCAATTTACCGGATATAAATTGCGAAACAGTGTTTTTAATTTTTAATTAACTTTTGATTACTTAGAATGCTTATTATAAAACACCTTAACTTGTGTTAGTTTCCCCATTGACCCAGTATTTCATATATGTTTTTAAACGTTTATTAAAGTTTTGTTCCGCACGTTATCCTGGGAGAGTTTTCATGAAAACTCAGTCCTTTATTTACAATAAAAACACTTCTTTCCTCTCACACCTGGAATCCACTTTGCTTATTAAAGTGACTTTCGTAAATTGAAACCTGCTGGTCCATTTCTTATTCAATTATTATATTTCATGTCATACAACCACCTGAAACCACATATATTTTTTCTGTTTCTATTAAAATGTTTGAATAGTATTAAAAACTGGTCCAACTTAACTTGTATAAGTACTAAAGTCAACTGAGTAGAGCAATATGAGGTAATCTGAACATTTACTGTTGCCGTATTTCAGTTCACCAACTAAACTCTTAATTTTTGATTAAATTCAATACTGTAATGCAGCTCAATGTTTAGGAGATCCAAGAATGTACAAACATACTATTACTGATTGCAGGTGAATTATCTTTGATAAATACGTCTAAATGTATTTAGCTGGCAGTAGTTCAAACGTTTGCTATACGTACAACTAATATGAATACTGTTGTTCTACTACGCACAGATCATGTTATGATTTAATGGATGTTTTACCCGAGTAGTATATTTACCACAAAATACATAGCTTTTAGCAATTACAATTTTTAAGTAGTAAAAACCCATTGCCTTTACTGTCAAGATTTATAGGTTTTCAGAAATGTGTTTTTATTACGATTTAAATCACAGTTATTCCCTTATCCTGTGATTTTTAGAAACTTTTCCAAAAATGTTAAGATTGGTCACAAATGGAATAAATGTAAAAGTTTTGATCAAATCAGCATTTTGATACGAGGGTTATAGTTAACTTATTTCACGGTTAATTTAACTTTTTGAATACATTTTTAGTATTTTGCAATTAATATTAAGGTCGTAGATAATACTTTTTACTTCACTGTCCAATTAAAATTTTATTTTAAATATTTACCATTGGGTTCCTGCAATTTATTAGATTGTGTGCAGCGGTAAAGTGGATCATTATTTTAATATCGTTCTTGGAAATTTTCAGTGGAAGGTTCAGTTTTTATAATTTATTTTCAATATTATGTGAGGTTACATATTTTTTTAACGCATTGCATATATTTGTTATTAGTATTAATAGCCTGAAAAAACATGGAATAAGCAACATGATTTTTTTATTCATTATAAAGGTCTCAAGAACTATGCCTATACAATAATAAGTGTGATTATAAAGACAATTTCTTCAGTTTTCTTTATACATTTTTATTTGTTAAACTGAAAATTAAGCCACTTGTCTAAAAGTACTCTGTTGACGAAATAAGATGATGATTTGATGCAATCAGGACTTGCCGTCTTGTAATTTAACCTCTCCGTTTTCTTGGAGAATCTTCCCTGGCAGAACGATGACCAAAACATGCCAGAAGAAAATATAATATATTCTATAGATTTTTATATATGGTATTTACAAATACGGCAAAATGGAACTACAAAAGGATGGATAATTGCAGGTACAGTTGCAATGGTCTATATGCTGCTTATTATTATTTCTTTAGTTGCTTTGCAAAATACAACATTTAATATATTTTTCTGTATTATCTTCATACCTTTTGTGAAATGTGAATTCTTAATAAATACAGAGCATTTATTCACCCTTTAAATTAACATGAGGCAAGGGATTTTTATATATATTTTCTTTGGTAAAAGCTGTCCTTGATCAATGGGTTTTAATACAAGGTCCTAGCTAAGCAAACCGATCTTGGCCATTAAAAAAATGTACGCAATAAATCTTACTCTTTTCTAATCTCGTCCAACACTCATATTTGGATTAAAATACACCTATCTACGTCCCCATATCAATTGATGATTTAAGTTGTTCAAGAAATCAGGTGCGATGCAATACTTATAATTCACAATATACTACTACTGCAATATACTACTATCACAATTAACTATACATACTTTACATTACCCGTTTTGTTGTTTAAATCCTTACCTACGGCCGTTTTTTAGTGTAGCTGTTTCAGTTCAGTTCATAGAGTTGAAAAGTTTCATATAACAGCATTGTTTATTCTTTCATAACAGCATAGTTTTAAACAACACGGTTAACGGACCAATGAGGTTCAAGGATTGAGAGAGAAGAAGAAAAATTGTAATGATTCGAACTTAAACTAATCAGCTGTTCAGGCCAATTTAATTGTTGAGTGGTGCAATTAGTGTTTGGTACAATGTAAATACAATCTCTCTTATTTTTTTGTAATTAAAACACTGTCGTAGGTAAAGTCAGTAGTTTACGCAACGGTTGCGTAAAGATAGTGTTAACGACACGAGCAGAAAATTTAAGGTAGCCTCGTCGAGTGCCTTACAGACTTCAACGAGTGTCGCTAACACTATTTACGCGAGTTGCGTACACTATTTTACCTACGATAGTGTTTTAATTACTAAAAATCACTACTCATAACTTATAAGAGAGATTATGTTTTTGTTTATAACCCCTCATTGTCACTGACAGTGATGTAATGAAACATTGTATCAAACACTAATTGCACCAATCAACAATTAAATTGGCCTGAACAGCTGATTAGTTGAATTTAGAGTCATTACACTTTTACTTTTCTTCTCTCAGTCCTTCAACCTCATTGGTCCGTTACCAGTCTTGTTATGAGTAAAACCATTATATAGTCAACGGTAAAACTATGCTGTTATGAAAGTAAACAATGCTGTTATGAGACACTTTTCAATTCTAAGAACTGTACTGAAACGGCTACTTTAAAAAACGGTCGTAGGTAAATAGTGTTAACGACACTCGTAGTAGAAGTTTTTAAAGCACTCACCAAGGATCCCTACTCGTACCGTTAACACTATCTTTATGCAATCTTTGCGTAAACTACTATAACAAGATGCATGTGTTTACAGTTCTGCTAAACAAAGCTATGGACGGACACTGCAGAAAGCCAAACGTCTAATCGTATTTCAATCGTTTATTATTGTTATACTAAATACTTGAAGGTCTAGTAGAATGACTATTGTGAAATAATGTTCTTATATATTTTGTTGGTTTGTTAAAATTAGTTTTGAATAAAAAGTTTTTTTTACGTTAATTAAATTTAGAGAAAAATTAATTCAAGGTAGTAAGGCCACCACCACTTTCGTTCTAACTATATAAATTATACCACAGTTAGGTTTAGAGGAAGCTAACAATAAAATTTTTGTAACAATTATGAAAAAAACTACGTTAATAGTTGTCACGTTAAAATTCGACTCTTTCACGTGGCAGGTTTTGTGTAGAGATATTACATAACAATGTTTCATTTACGGCTTTAAACAAATATCAACTTCAATTCAATTACATTATATTGCTTCAAATATGAAGTTTTAATAAATATCCTCCGGTACACATAAACTGATGGTAACGTCCTTTGATTCGCAGAATGCTTGTAAAATTAACAAATATTGAAATATTAAAAATTCGTAGTATTACCTTTGCTTGAACAAATGTTTTATAAAAATAAAACGTCATTTTCATCATTTTCATTGAATCATTTTCATTGAAAATGAAATCTTGAATCGTGTAAATGAAACTAAATTCTTGGGTCTAATTATAGACGAACATTTATCATGGGACAACCATATTGAACATGTTATGAATAAAACGTCTAGTGGCATACACGCTTTAAGGAAAAGGTCCACTGGTGTAATCTAAAAACCATGAAATCTATTTACTTCGCCCTAATTCATTCTCATATTGCCTACGGTATTAGTATATATGGATCAACAACAATAAAGAACATGGACAAAATTCTCATTCAACAAAAACGTGCATTAAGAATAATGTTTCATCTGAAACGAAAAGTTTCAGTGAAACATATTTTTAAAGATTTAAAAATATTTACAGTTATCGGCTTATACATTTATGAAACAATAAAACTTACATTACTCAACAATAAAATTTCAATTGGCAACACAACCCATTCGTATAACACAAGAGCTCATCGTTTAGTTGAACAACACAAATTGGATTTTTTTTTAAGAAAACCACTTACATGGGCAATATATGTTTTCATAGCCTCCCTCAAAATATTAAATCAGAGAGAAACCATGGAAGGTTGTTAAAATAACTTAAAGAATATCTAATTAAATCTGCTTTTTACTCTCTCCAAGACTTTATTTTTCTTGATAAATATATGATTTTTTAACTCTCTCTGTCTCTATCCTCTTGTAGTTTTTGTAACTAATGTTTATTTTGTATCTTAAACGTAATTTATTTTGTATCTTCAACGTAATTTTTATATAAAGGTTTCTTTTATGTAAATATTGTAAATACTGTATGATGTGGGAAACACATGTGACGTAGTATGAAACTATTTTATATTATTTTACCTTATGTTATATGACCTTGTGTTATATTTACCTTATGTGTGACTCTATTCTTTGTAAATGATACAAGAAACAGAATAAAGATTATATTGAATTTAATTGAAATATTAATAACGCAAAATATGAATAACATATTTTTGATTTTGGTGAAAAATAGTATATTAGGAAGAGGAAATTATCACCGTCAACTTGAAAACATGATATTTGGGTCCATTTCATTACACGATTCGAACATGTGAAATTTACTTGATAAGTGGGTTGATGTACTCGAACAATTTAAATCGAGTTTGATTGGCATGTGGAAAAACACCTGGAATTTTCTGGCAGGTTTTCGATATTATTTTCGGTCAGGAATCGTACGATACGACTGTAAGTATTAAATAGAGTGAATAAATCTCCTTATCCCTTCATATAGTACTCATCTTTAGATATCGCAAACTCTTCTTACATGCAGGATGCAGGATCGATAATCTTATAAAGCGAATAAAATAAAAATAAGAACGAATCTTTTTTATTCATTAACATCAATCAAACCATGTTTAGCCTTTTTTAATCAATCGCACTGCAAAACAAAATCCAGACGAACATATATTTTCCCCAGTGAAGAATTTGATTTTTATTTTTCCATTCAAACAATATTTATTTACTATCAAACCGAAAACAACTGGTTAGGGCATATGTGATGATTATGCATCTTTATCTTAGGATTTCATTTTTTGTACTCGAATATTGTAAATACTAACAAAAGGTCATCTCAATAACATGATCCATTGGGTTCATCAACAGTATAGATTTTTAACCCTCTAAAATCTGTTGATTTAATAGTTTTTGTTGTTTTCTTTACAATCGGATAGTTTTATCTTTGATGCAAATGTGTAAGGTTAGTATAAGTGTAAGTGGTATAAGTGTAAAATGGCAACTAATGTTGTACCTGGTTTTTTAAGCATTTTTGATTCATTTTAGTCATACTAACAAAAATAAGTTCATTTAGTATTTATAAAGTCGTTTTCCTGCATTTTGACAAAATTATTTACTTTTCTCTCGTGCAACATATTTATGCTGTTTGAAAGAAAAGTCTATTATTTTGTTGTGAATTTAACTACTGTAACTTATTTTTGCCAAACGTATTTATGAAGTGAATACCTTCAATATAAATTTTTAATTACTACACCTATGGTATAATTACAAACAGTTAGATAAATAAAAACATTTTAAATCAATAAACAGGGAATCATACAAAAACTTAGCATACTTTATCTAATTTTACTTCAATTTTTAGTTTAAATCAATTTGTTTTCAATCATAGGCTTGGCTATTTAGTTATGAAACTTCACTTTGGTTCTTATTGTCAATAAATCTGTTTAATGTGCGAATGATGATAACCACTAAGGGAAAACAACCCAATAAAACGATAAAATGTGGCTTCTTCCGTCTGAAATTGTAGTTCAGAAACTATGGACCTACAATAGAACGGAATCAGTATCAGTACCAGTTTGTATCAATCTTACAAAGGAAGTATAATTTTATGACCACAAATCAAAAATTCCATCCATTGGAGATTTATCTTTTACTTTATTAAATCAGGTGTCTTTAAAATTATGTTATTTCAAAAAAAAATATTTAAAGATATTCCCATAGTACTAATGTTATTTTCCTTGTGTTTTGTTAACAATTAATTTTTCTGAAGATATAAGCTTGAAAGAGGTTGAGCATTTTACATTTTAATAATTCTTTTATCTTGATAAGAATTCTTTTATTTGAGACTTAAAATAATTCACAAAGGGATTTTCATGGATTTAAGAATGATCGATATTAACATTTTTAATTCTTAAGTCCATTTAAAAATCATTTTGGCCTTAATAGGCTAATACATTTCATCCCTAAGATTTGGAGGAAATATTTTATGTATCGTGTAATCACCATTAAAGAAAGATGAATAACAGCTAATATTAGTTGATTTGTCACAGATGATTAATAAACGTTTATGAAGTCTTCAAACTTTTAGCGAATGGAAATTAAATTATTTTAATGTATAAATAGATTGATAATTAATAACGAATTTACAGATATTTTAAAATTTATAAATTCTAAGTTTATCGTAAAATAGATATTATTTGACTGTAGTTATGCAATGTTAATAAATAAATGGCAACATCAAGCTACGGGGGAGTCTTGTTAATCGAAAACGATTGACCAGAAAAATATTACAAACTTTTAAAAAATCTTATTCATTGTGATCATAACGTTTAATAACTAGCTTTTGTTAACAAACGAAGGGAAAGAACGATCAAACTCCAAAAATTAAGAAAATGAGATACCAGTATATTCTGGTTCGTCGGAGTTAGTTTTATAACCACGTGCAATTTACACACTGGAATAACGAACAGATTCCACTCTATACTACAAAACGTTGAGGGTGTGCAGGGGCATATCAGACAAACTCCACTGCAAACAATGGAAGAACGGTCAAAGTCTGTATATACTTGTTTTTTAGGCTGCACAAAGGACCAAAAAAGGACGAAAAAGAAGAAATTGCGCAATAGGAAATGCTTAAGAAGGGGAATAAATAAAGAATACCAGAATACCAAATAAAGTATACAAATACAAAGAAACAACAGTATACTTTATGTAACATTCCGATATAAATACAATAACTATTTTAGACTTTTCTGCAAATGTATACAAGCTTCAATCTTAGCTCTATATGTATCACAGATTTTTTTATATTAGATGAATAAGTATATGCTGTATGCATAGTCTATATTACTATTAAATTACAAACGTATAACACCTTTTAAGTATAATTTAAAACATTTCATTCTTAGTTGAAGCTTGGGGCTCAAAAATGTAAGCATTCTTCTAAGAATAAAAATCTACACAATAACAATTAATAATATCTCGTATTATTGTATAAAAACGCTTTAGTAGTTGTATTGATCTGTTATGAATATAAATGATTTGTCAACCATAACAGGAGTTTATGGAAAATATTTGCTTCTTACCGATAGAATTATTGTATTTTTAATGTATGGGGTTGAGATGGGTTGTTAATTAAACGTCTTTTCGTTATTGATTTCGAAAAAATTAATTTCAAATACACGAAATTCAAAACACAGCTGGTCATCTAGTCGTTTGAATATTACCAGTGATCATACCTTATACTTCTTTGATAACACTACCATAAACTGACTAACTATAAACTAACTACAATCCGATTTTCAATACTAGATTTGCATACTTCGTCAAAGCTGTATCAAAATGCTCCGATACCTTCAGAAATAAAATTCTACTTCCTATAAAGCACCAATACAGTTTTCTTTCATGGCAAGACGAGAAAGATTAACTATGGGTTTTTTCTATCGTACTAAATATTATGAAGCTGTAAGTTTGTGTTTGTTTGGTTGTTAAATGTTTTGGGACCCTAAATCACAAAATATTGAGACATACTTCTGTTTATTATAGGTTGCCTTTATCTTCCAATACTTTTGTTTTGAGCGATTGCAAAGCCGTTAGGCTAAGCATAAAGAATGGGATATAACTCAAAGCACTAGTTTAAATTAGTCGTAGCTTAAAAGATGTGCTTTTCAAT